CACCATGTCGAGCTCTTGGATCCATCCCCTTTGCGATGACCTCAAATGCATAAAACGTGTATGGCACTGTCACCTGGCCCCGCCGCTGCTTGAAACCCCGTCTCAGATACTGGAGACACTTCTCACGAATAACCGAACCGCTCAAGCCGCCAGGCAGAAGAACGCCCTTGATACCTCGGAATGACTCGGCTGCGCGAAGTGGTGAAACAGACGTAATGCCTCGGCCAGCCCCGGGAATCTTTGAGTCGATGACCCGAAGGTGCTGCTCTCTGAGACTCTCGACGGCCCGTGAGTGATATAGTGGGTATCCTCTGAGCAGCTTGGATTCCCCGACATCGACATCAGCAGTCTCCCATGCAGCAGCAGCATAGCGTCGACGACCGTCTTGTCTTGCATCCACGGGATCGTTCGACGCGGCTGCGCGAGCGGCTTCATAAGCCTCCTCCATGCGGTCAGTGATCTCGTGACGCTTGGTGCGCTGCGCTGCCCGATACTTCTTCTCCATAAACTTATCGGTACGCTGGACGAACTCATGCGTAGCATCCAAGCGCTTCAGGACGTTGTACTGACGGCGATCTGATTCATCCAGCGCAGCCACAAATGTCTTCCGCTTGAGGCTGCTAGTCACTGTCCCCTTGGCACGTCCAAGAGTGTAGTCAGCCGGGTTCGTCGCGCGGGTGGTCTTTTTGATGACGCCATCTCGTGGCGCACGAAGCTCTTTGTCAGCTCGAAAGACATGCTGAGCTCTTTTTTTCTTTGCCTTCTTCTCGTGCATCATCTGACTCCATGCTTGGCGCCGCAGTCCCTCTGTCTTCTCTCCTTCTTCGCCTGCCGACCCTCTGGCGGCCGGTTTCATGCACCTGGCGAGTCGTTCACAGAAGCGCAGACGAGTAGATCTGTGTGCCAGAATGCTGCGTGACGGTCATCAGCTCACCGTGCAGTAGAGCGGGGCATCGCAGTACAGCAGGGCATGGAGATCAACACGGTCGGTCGACCCCGCCAGGGCGTGGCATCGTCACTCCTTCGCCATCCGATGCCAGGTAGCAGGCTTTGTGCCGCTGCTGCAGCCGCAGGAGCCAGCACTCGAAGGCTGGGAGGGAAACAATGCAAGAACCTTGCCATTATGTGTGTGTATTGGGAGTCTAAGGCGCGTCCCCCTCGAAACATGTACCGTACATGACATGGCGCCCGGGCACGGAGTAAACGGAGAAACAAACAGCGCAGGCCGCCTGACTACATTTTCAGCAAGACAGCTTGTGTGTGTGTGTGTATGCGTCTGGCTGCGTAAGGCCGTG